CAAGCCACTCTTCAGTCATAATAACTCGTTTTTCAAGTTCATTGCATTTTTTTTTAAAGTAGAATTGTCAGAATCTAAGCTAAAGTCCGCAGGAGCACACCATTTTTCGAATGGTACATTCTTATCACTATCCATCTCTTGAGAAATTTGATCGGATACCAAAGGCTTATCATTCTGAGATGCGGTAGCGCAATGTACCTCAAGCTCATTTTCAACCTTGTGCATCGTAACTGGAATGTAAAAATCTTTCCCGTTGCAATTGATCTTCAGTAAATCCTTATCCCCGAGTATTTGATATTTATGGTGATAGAGGAAAGGATTGCTCAATAACAACAAAGGCTTATCATATTCAATAACTACAAAATCTAAATAAAATACACAGCCAGGAGCTAGGGTTAATAGTACGTTATAAACCATTCCAATAGATTTGGTTAGGACAGTGGATGCCCCCTTGAAATAAAACACCGCACTTTTATCAATTTCCAAACCCAAGCGCTTGGGAATATCCTTAGACATAAGTAAAGTATTTGAGCCAGGATCGACTGTAATTGCCGAAAGTACTAGACGTTTGATCTTACCACGAACAGTTGGAACATCTATCACATCTTTATCTTGAACAAAGTTAATTTCCATATCTTCGATAACTTCTTCATCCTCAGTCTCGCCTAGTGGGAGGTTATCAGCAGGATTAGAATTCTGGATGATTCTGCGTACAATCCCCTCCAATAAAGCGGAATTTTCAAGCTCGCTTTGGATTATCTCACGAATTCGTCTCTCTAGTAAAGTCGAAGTGGAATTTTGTGATCCTTGAAGAGGGGTTCGATTCTCCTTACCCTCTGAAAAATATGCATCTTTCTTGTCTTTGGATCGGGATTGCTTATCGGATGTTTTCTTAATGAGTACTCTAGGTCGATCTACTTTTTTTTAATTCTGGATACATTAACATTGGATTCCTCATCAGGTACATCATCATCAATTTCATCATTGCCTTCTTGATCAGAAATAGCAGATTCATCAGGAAATTCTTCTGTATCAGAGTGGCTTTGTTGGAATCCATCAGCAAAATTCACACGACCGGTTCTTTTTCTAGAATTATCAACCATCATATTCTTAATTATGGGACAACTGCGATAAGTATGACCTAGCTTTTTACAAATTTCGCATTTTCGTGAGGGTGGTCTAGTATTTACTCTAGGGGTTCTGACCATATTTATTGACGGATTCGGGGAGCTGGGCAATCCTTCAAGTTGATCTAATTTATTAGCAATATTGACTATTGCATAATCAATTTCCATTGGTTCGAATACTCTATTATCCTCAGTCTCAAGACCCAATTCCGCATAATTTTTTAACTCTTCATAGTATTTTGCTTTCTCAGTTTTTGGATGGAAATTTTGATATTCATATACTGGAGGATTTGGAATTCGTTGAAGTGGTTGAGATTTCGGTTGTTGTACAATTTGCTGGGGTGGTTGAATGGTTTGCTGAGGTGGTTGGAACACGGGTTGTTGAATGATTTGCTGAGGTGGTTGAAATGTAGGTTGTTGAACGATTTGCTGAGGCAGTTGAAACGCGGGTTGTTGTACGATTTGTTGGGGTACTTGAGATGCCATCCCATTCGTATTATTCGCACTTCCATAATTAAATGAAGAAGGCCTACGTTTGAGCCACAAGTTCTTGAGATCGGTGAAAAATGTATTGATATTTGCAGGATTTGCATTTTCTATTCGATTGAAAAGGTCATTAGGTAAATGATCCATAAGGAATGACAAGGCATTAGCATCATCGTTAGCAACACCCAATAATAGGGGGCGTATTCTCGTCTCATATGTTTCCGGCGTATCATTAGGTAAAAATTTTTCGTAAGCTAATCTCTGGAGAGCAACTTGTTGTGCTCCGACCGTTTCTGTCTGATATTTATGACGCAACCATGCAATAAAGCGAGCTGGAGTATCAATGGCATTTCCCGCATGTTGATTGGGCAAATCTGCATATTTTCTACCCAGTTTGCTTTTCAAGATCGCAACTTTATGTGCATCATCAATTTGTGTTACTGCGGGATATGATAATATGGCATTAATTCCATTATACCATTCGTCAGGTTGAACCTGTCCATTATAAAATTCAACATTTGCAATACCAGTCAAGTCACCTATAGGTGTCGCCATATTTGGTGGATTATTCTGAAGCGCTAAAATTTGTTGATTTAAATTTATAATTATTTGCCTCGAACCTTTTTCCTTATTTTCCCATTTTTTGTGTTTCGCCTTTTGCTTGATATGTTTACCTTTTCTCTTTGCATGCTTTCTACGCCAATTTTGTAATTCAGCTTGACATGTTTGCAATTGTCCCGTCTGGAAATTGTGGGCCTGGTTAAGAAGATCGAAATTATTATTTGCAGTATCCAACCGAGCCTGTAATTGTATAATAATTTGTGCATCTCCCTGAATTTGGGCTTGAAGTTGAGTTGCTTGATTATTCAACCCTGCAATCACCTGACCATATTGCTGATACTGGGTTTGTGCTTCGTCATTTTCCCAGTCAGCGATTTCTTTCAATCTATTTGCGGAACTAGTGATAATATTAAGTTTGGTCAAAATATCTCTCTGATTCAATTGAGAAGATTGTGGCCCTCGAAAATGATCATCAATATCTCTACATTCATCCTGAACCGTTTCAAAAATGTTATTGAGTTCATTGGGCCTAGGTGGTTGAATTGGATCAGACATTGAAAGTTTATTATACTTCCGAGAGGTAATTTCTCGAATTTTCTTTTTTAAGATGACCGCTTCCTCTTCGAGTGTAGACAACCGTTGCTCTAGATCAAGAGCATAACTCTCTTTTTTATCCACATCCTTTAGAGCAGACCGAAGACGTTTTTGCAAATCGGATACTTGGGATTTGAGTTCCTGTACTTCTTTTTCGTAAGTAATGATTGTGGTATCCTGAAATGAAATGGTTCTACTGCATTGCTCTAACTCTTTTATGAGAACGCGAATTTTTTTCTCATTTGTTTGATTTATGCCTACTTCTTTACCCAACTCTTTACGCAACTCTTGATTAGTACCTAGCAGTTGTAAATACGCAGGATCGGTTTGGAAATTCATCTCAAAAGTCCAGTTTTGCTTTATTATAATATCAATTATAACATTTCACGGTAATGGCAATGAGTATCCCTACCATTATAATCAGCGCTGATGAGGAGCTAAAAATCGTTCTTCGTCTAATTTACTATCATGTACCTGGATTTTATTCGAATGCCAAAAAATTGTTAGACGCGTGCAGAAAAGAAGGTTGTAGATTTCGCCTTATTGATATTGAATCCTGGCTTAATCATCAGTTCGTCTGTCAAATATATCTCTTTCCGCAAAAATGCAAAGCCAGAGCAGGGTTTCAGAAGATATCTATTCCTAACAAAGTACATCAGTGCGATCTGCTGGCCCATGGTTATGATGATCAGGATGGTGAAAAAATATATCGTTATACATTAGTGGTTATAGACATTGCTATGCGTTATAAAAGTGGACGCTCATTAATATCGAAGAATAGTTTAGAAGTTTGGAAAGCTATCGAAGAAATTTACAATGATCCTAAAAATCTTCATACATGGCCAAAATTATTGATGCTGGACGGCGGTAAAGAATTCTCTGGATATTTTTCACGGGGAATGCAACGATATAATGTTTCTATCTGGGTTGTCAATCTTTATAGTTTCGAAAGTCTAGCATTGGTCAAAGCATGAAACGAAGATTAGCAGAAATAATATACAAGGTTCAATATGCAATAGAATCTAAATTACCAGCAGGAGAACGTTCGACATTGTGGAATATGATTCTCAAAGTAATTTTTGACTATATATATGAACAACAGTCCTACACAATTAATTGGAATGACCCCATCCCATGCTATGACGTTGGAAAAAGTGATCTCTAAACCATCTATCAAACCCAAAAGACCTATTGGGGGAGACGAAGAGCAAATATCAAAAGGCACTACTGTTTGATACTTATTAAAACCCGGAGAATTGGAAGGAGGCCATACACGTCGAGCAACTGATCCATACTTCTCATTACGTGTTTATCGAATCAGAAAAGTCGTCGTTGGGAAAAATCCGCCACAGCCAGTCTTATATTATCTTGAAAAGGAAGCGATTGAATCTACAAGACATTTAATGGGTAGAAATCCACGTAGACCATTCAAGATGGAAGAATTGCAAATCATAGATATGGAAAATCTTGAATATCCGCCAGATGAATTTATCCAAAAATATCATTACCAAACCGTTAACCATGTGACTTCAAAACCAGAGCATTTTCGAAATACACCATTATCAATTGGGACGGTCTTGGAGATAGCCATTCTTGGTTAAAGCTTCTCTTATAAAAGATTTGATATCTGCGAAATATGGTATTTCGATGAGGCATATACCTTCTTGCTTACATATATCCCGCTTTTTTTGATCACGTTTCCTTTGCTCGCTCAAATCTTGTCCACTTTTATGAAACATTGGATTAAGAGCATAGTGTTGCTGACCATTAAATTCGAAGGCCAGTTTTAATTCCTCATTGTATCCATCGAAGCGCATCCCTTGTAAAAATTTTGGTGCACGAGGTGGAAACTTTTTTCCTAACAGATCTTTGAATATATACCTTGATGTACGTTCCCCTTTCGAATGTGGACATAGAGGACACCACTCATATCTCTTCATAATAATTTCGATTGGTCTTTCCCATAAGTGATTTCTATTGCACGAAAATAAGAAAGTTGTAGGACCAGTTTGGATGTGAACTTTTCCTCTGCGTTTTTCAGCGTAAATTTGAGCTTCAGCGAGATTTGACATGTTTATACTCATTTCTAGGAAAAAAAATATAGTTAGTATCAGAATTATGTGTATAATATTGATGAATCAAACCACCAAAAAAATCTTTAGATGATGTTGTACACATTTAATGAGGCTTTGTAAGTGTTATTTTTAGAATTGTGACTAATATTTTATCTCAGAAATTATACCAGAATGAAGTACTATTATATATATCATATCGATGAAGTTAAACCACCAAAAAAATCTTTAGATGATGAAGACGCTCCAAAGTGGCCATTCTATATGGGAGTTTTTGGAAGATCAAACACTGGTAAAACCAATATGGTGGTAGATCTATTTTCCGGAGATAAATACTATGATCTCAAAGAAAAATCAGAGAAAATTGGCGAACGTCATATACGTTGCAATGATATTGTATTAGTAACTCGCCATCCCAATGAACCAAAATACCGATTACTTCGAAACTTCTATAAGAAAATAGCAGATCGTTCCAAGCCGTACTATGAGGATGTTACATTTACTGCAATTACCCCTGATAAAATCCCAGATCTGAAACAATTTAAAAATCCAAAAAGACGGACTGTTTTAATTTTTGAGGATGTGTGTACTGAACCCCAGTCAATTCAAAATCGTATCATCCCATTTTTTACCAGAGGGCGCCATAGTAATATTTCCGCAATATATATTTCACATAAATTCACTCAAATGTCAAATATCCTTCGTGAAAATTCAACCCATCTTGTATTATTTGATGGTGGGGGGTCTACAGAAGCTATTGCACGAATTATAAGACAATACATAGAAGAAGATCCACGTAAAGCTTCTAGAGTTATCAATAACTATTTGCGAAATCGTGAATTCATTGTCTTCGATACTACTGTACCAATTTCCGATCCTATGTCCATCAGAGTCGGTTGGATGAATCCTCTGAACCTGGAAAAAGAGATCAAGTTATTGACTGCATAATAAGAAAATAAATTATGATTGAGATTTTTTAGTGGATTAACTCCGCTAAGCTTGAATAACTTATCTTTATCCTCTGCAATTGTAACTTTTTTTCTTCGATTTCATATAAAAAAGATGTCCAAGTTTAATCAAATAATAATATTTCTCCCACTATTTTTTTATATATAGAATATAGTATATAGTATATATCTTACTCGCCACTCTGTAGAGATGAACGTATCCAGCCAGTGTTGAAATTGAGGTAGATATATATTTCAGATAAAATGCACTCCTCCGTGTATTCAATCATTATTCTATCTGCCACTCATATTATTGAGCTGACCGAATCCTGCCGGTATGAAGTTAGAGTGAATATTGAAAACAATGGTATTAACACAAGTCCATGTATTATTTCTAATATGGGGATTTTTGTGTCGAATGGAAATGGGTTGATATGTAAAAAATCAAAGTAAAAAATGTTACCAGCCCTCAGGAATACCTTAGGTGATTTTATTTTAAAATAGATATATATGAATAATAAATAGATATATTAATCGAATAAATAGATATGTGTATTAATTAATATATTTACGCTTCTATTTCTAAAAGTCGCTGTTGGAATCTAGACCGCAATTGACTCTTTTTAGAATCTATCCAATAATTTGGAATACAATATTCCTGATAGCAACTAATTTCAAATTCAGCATTATAAGGATACCTATTATATTTTTTTATATACTCGGCATATTCTTTATTAAGACGTGTTTTAATTTGATCTAGAGATACAGGATTTTTTATTTTATGTGGAATTAATGTTAGAAATTTCTTATCATCTGGAGTATTATCATTCGGTAAGCTATTCCATACAAGCCGTGCATTCGATGGCTCTTTCTCTTGAAATTGTCTCCAAACTCTTTGTATAATCCTTGCACATCCAAAATCGGTATGTGGTCTTGAGCATTCATGATCATAATGTTCTTTCATTAAATCGAATGGATCTACATTTGGACCTAAATTAACATTAACATGCATAAGTTTCATACATCGGAAACATATTGCTGTACCATCCTCATATAA